AACGGGTTGCAAGAAAAATCAAAGACGACATTCAAGATGCGTTCGAAGGGATTGAAAGAGAAGACGACCCTGAATACCCGAAATTCTTGAACGGGTTTCTTTTAAAAGGTGTGAAAGGCATGGTAAATAAATGGCACATGTGGCATCCAAGTCTTGAGTCTTACGAACAGCTTCGCGACGAACTCAAGCAAGAAGAAAACCTGCTCCCTTTTGCAGAGCATTTCGTCAGAAGCCTGGACGATGGGTTTCCGTGTTTCAATGAATTCAAAGACGCTGGATTAAGCAAAGCCGGGAAGCTTGGATGGTTTTACAGCGCACCGGGGCGAATAAAAAACGCGCTTGCACGCCCCCGCTGCAGCGCTTGCAGAGCCGGTAGTCGCACAGCAGTCCGACTCCGCATTCTCTGCAGGGCTCTGGCTTTTTCATTCCTTTTTTCAGCTGGTAGTTGTGCTGGCTGCAGTACGCCCCGTAACAGCACTTTCCGCAGCTTTCTTTCCGGCCCCGCTTCAGCCACCCGCACTTGTTTGGCGCTCTATACATCGCAACTCAGGTGGTATTACAGCGGGCTCGCGTGTTTCTAATATTTCACACTCCTTTGTTGTGAGTAGTATATAGGGAATTTGACAAATACTATTTCAAAGAGGGGGCTGCATTTAACCGTTTCGCAGCCCCCAGCTTCATCCGGCCCGAGCCTGAGAGGGCCAGACTTGAATGTGGGGGCTGCGATAAGGTAAAATAAAGCCCCCTCTGCGAAATGGTATTTGTCGAATTCGCTATATACTACTTGAATTTCGTCATAACATTGTCAAAGTAGCTGTGGATCCATGAGGCGATAGCCACATCGCATACATTATAAATTCATGTGTCTGTCCGCTTATTGATCATAAAAATTAGCCAATGAGCGTGTGAGAATTTCTGCAGTTATCGTAAAAATCACCTTTCAGCGCCGTCTGTTAAAATTCCTGTTAGTCAAGCAGCTGTGCGTATTTTCCTTCATAGGTCGATCGAGGAAAAAGCTAAAACCTGGGGGGAAAAGATGAACGTACGAAAACTAGAGCCTTACACCCAATTTTTCAGTGACCAATTAGTCCCGAGGGATTGGCTTGATCCATGTAAATGTTTGGTGTAGGGGGGTCACCGCAGGTTTAAAACTTTGACCCTGTTTAAGACAAAGAAAACCCTAAATACATACCCCGTGTGGAGTATAAACCCTGTATTCTAGAACTCTGTTTAGTACAAAGAACTGAGTGGAATTATAGGTTGCTAATAACCATACAAATGTTTTCTTATCCTAAACATTGTTTGATCCTGGTTGGCGACCCACTAAATATTGCCAAATGTGTCCGGACTCGGATTAATGAGTATTGTCAAGAGAAGATCTCGGTGAAAGTGAAGAAGATCTTGGTATTGTATGAACCATATTGAACGACACCAAAAGTAAAAGCATACCCTGTTTAGGACAGTTCAGACCAAGTCTACGGCAGCTTTACATAAAAATTATACACCCTGTTCAAGCCAGTGAGGAGCGATTTGTCCCTGTACTCCTGAAGAACTTCAACAGAATTCTAAACCATGGTACTGTTTTCGAATACCCGCAAACAGTACAAGTGGTATGTGATTTTCTGGTGAAAGGATACGTAAGTATCGTCCCTGCTGACCTGAAGAAAGAACAAGGATGAAACGTTATCAAACACTAAGATTTGAGGCCGAGTAGTAAAGTCCTATATCTGCTGTAAAATCATTTATATGTCTTGTAGGGCCTCTAGTATATAACTATTCTCTATACTCTACTGCTATTAACTACTGTCTCTATCATTTATCGGCTTTACGCCAAGTAAAATAACTATTCTAGCTTGTATGTAACTTGCTTTAGATTAACTGGGGATGCCCAATCAAACATAAGCTTTGTGGCTTCTTTCTGTCACCTTGCCACTTTTTCTCCATAACTTATTTCAATTTATATTACTTTTAGTTCATAAATAAATAAATAAATAAATAAATAAAACAATTTGATAAATAAATAAGAACTAACCTAAAAAATAAACTATATATTCTTTTCATTGTAAATACACTATTTCATTGTTCAACTGACTGAAAAACTGAACATCTGGTGTGTTCAATGAGATCAACCAATTTCAATGATGTAGTTCCCGTTCTGTTGAAAAAAAACATTTCCTGCTTTAAACAATTAAACAAAATGAACATGAAGATTGCATGCGAGACCTTACCTCGTGACAAAGTCCAGGAATGTTCAAAGAGAAAACTGACTGATGCTCCCTTAAGGTAAAGTATCTGAGAATCAGGGGGGTCAAGCTATATTGAGAGAAAACGAAGAATATAACTTGCTAACTGTAAGAAATATGTGATAGATAGGCATAGTGATAGATAATACTGATAAAGCCAATTTGAAGAAAAACTTGATCAACCGTTGCCAGCCACGTAGAAAACCAATATTCCAAGAATTTACACAAACCAGAAAACAATAACTTTCATCAACCGTAATACAACTGATTATATGAAGTGTTGCAACAGATGAAAATGTTATGTGAAACAATGGAGTGGAATAATCAAGAAATATAGCTCGTTCTAATTCACCAAGAGGTACTTTTACTAGTTTTACAATTACCTGAATTTTTCACAAATTCCCTCAATTTCATTTCACATTTTAACCACATCATCCCTTCACTATTCATTTGCTCACCTAATCATCACATGAACATCTTTTAAGTCTTTTCTTCAGTTTCAAGCTTTTTCCTCACATCAAGTGTCACACAAAATGTCTCTCCTTCCTTTCATAAGTCAGTACTCTGCACCAATCTTGTCCCCAGAACTTGCGTACATTACCTGAACTTGTCACGCACAATCACTCTATTTCTTTTCACATGTCACGTATAACCCGAAAACCTTTCAAGTGTCATGCATAAACACTCTATTTTCTTTCAAGTGTCACTCACAAATTATCCACGTGGTACCATCTACACACTCTCACCATGTTTGATCTGTAGTCAGTTTTACACTTGTCTGTTGAAAAACTTTCCTAAAACAGAACTGACCTGCAGATCTTGAAGAGAAGTGATCCATCGTCCGGCCACTGCAAGGCAACAGATAACATCATGTTTGGATGGCAGAGGATTTGTACCAGTCACAGAAATCTCCCCTTTTGCTTTGACATCATGATCTTGATGAAGAACTGCATAACAAGAGAAAGCAACTATCTGTTAACTTAGATTTTGTATTTGCTAACATCAAATGCATGCAATGTTTACAGAGGGCTAAGTAGCTGCTGCTCTTCGCACATATTGCAGACCTATGAGAAGCTAATAAATGATAGAATGAAGAATCTCAAGCAGTATATTAAAGTAAACTAATGTCATCTTTTGTGTCAATTTGATGCAAACACATTGCCTCTAATTATACTTCAGTTATGGCAAATACCTGTCTGCACATGACAGGGATTGAAAGAGGGAGGTGATTTCTTGCATCACTCCCCACATGAGAAAAAGGAAATAATGGTGACACTAATGCTGATGATGAGGACAATGAGTTCTCACCTCCATTGTCAATAACGCAATCCACACCAAGTCCACCTGTTTCATCCATGCAGATATCTACCAGGGATTTCTTTGTTTTCCTCAAGTCTATGACATTTGCTGCAACATTACAGAATGACCTTTAGTTGTTACTGAAGAATTCTCGTGGACTCAAATTACTTCTCTCTAAAGGTGCTGGAATGAATCTGATCTGTACTTGCTAAAGCCAAGCTTGTATTTTAAGAGCGTATTAAAACAGCACAACACAAAACTTGCAGTGCAATTAAAACTAATCTGCACTTACCATTCCATGCCACTAATAATAATAAAATAATAGTAACTTTAATTACCCTTGGCAGTATTTGTAGCCCAAAGGCCCTTAGTGGGGTTGAATCTCAATTGGCCAGAGGCAAACCGAAAGCTATTTAAAAGTGTCGTTGAGGAATTGAACTCGGTGCTTCCATGAAACAAATTCAGATAGTGGTCAACCATTGCAGCATTGGCCATGCCATGTTCTTATGTGTAAAACCTGTGTTGTTCTTGTTGTTAAATTCCATGAAACACTACTGTAGGAAAGTGTTACTCTATTCCAAAGGTAATGAATTAAGATTGCCCTACCGACTGGTGATTGAAGACTTTGTAGGTAAATAACTTCTTCCTCTGATGATGCTGTTGCAAGTACCTGTAAATTTTATTGTTTTATCAATGGTGTACATTAACATATCATTTACACTTATATAAAATAACTAATGATAAAAATACAATGTTTTTACTTTATTGTTAACTAAAGATGGTCAGTATTAATTAATAATACCATTCTTGAATTGAAATCATATCAATTTATAGCTGCCTGTCTTAAAGAAATCAGCCATACCTTAGCACCCCAAATATGAGCAAGTTGTATTGCCATTACACCACTTGACTGAAACAAATAATATAATAATAATAATAATCATTAATATTTAATATTTAACAGCTGTGATTGGTGTGAACTTGAATCAGCTACACCTGAGCTACACTGACCAAAATTTTCAAAATGTCAAGGTCACTATCTCTTTTGAAATATTTAAGTACTTACTGAGGCACCATTAAATATCAATATAGTCTCTCCACAACACACTCTGGCCTGATAATGCAATGCAGTGTATGCTTTTACAACATCACCAATACACCCTGCAGCATCTATGTGATCCACTTTCTCAGGTTTTCTTGCTAAAAGTAAAATGAAATGGTCAGGAGCAAATTATGGGACTTTGGGTGAGAGTTATTTTAAATTCTTTGACTTTCAGATAAGTTATACAATGCGTTTGAGTGCTATAGCATGCAATATCCCATGATGAGTTACTTATATTTTTTCACTATACACACAAAGTGACTGTAGTATGCCACAAGAAAACATTGCATGATTATATCGTGCCATAGAAAATACAGAAACAATCAATGCAGTGGGTGTAATACTGCCCAGCATACAGCTTTCCTGTATTCTGATTGGCTGTATTGTCTATGACATGGTAAAAAAAAATGAAATAAATTATTTACCATGATTACAGATATATGAGCAAATCATAGTTAGCCCCCACTTGGAGTGAATGGATAGTCTAACAAAAAAAATGTTGAGAAAAAGATACTTGGAACGTTTGGTATTCTGATTCACTCATAACTGAGTAACTATAAGCTACATGGCCAGTTATCTAACAGCAATGCTCACCAACATCATATTGAGATAACACACAGAAGTTTGCACATCCAGATGATGCTGAATCCAATGGAAGCAGTCCTGTGTATAAATGGAGCACACAACGGAATATGAAAACATTCTGTGAAAATGAGCACGCAAGACGCCATGTTTCTATAACTTCATAGAAATGCAGAAGTAGTGCCAGCAAAGCAAAGAGAGCTTTTAAATAGCCAACTGGTTTGCCTCCAGCCAGTTGGGATTCTCAATTTTTTGAATTTTTTCAGTTGTTTGCTTGGCCCCACTAGCACTTTTGCTATAAACACTGCCGTGGGTAAATAAAGGTTAACATATATCTATTTTTTATTTATTTTTACTTTTAATTGATATTACAATAAAGGAGTGTTTCTCCTTGTTAAAAACATGTGTTTTCCTTGGTAAGGACATCAGTAACACACAGCTCGTGCCATGTGTGCAACTTTTTGTTCTTACCACATTTTGACTTCATCTGTGATCTATTACTAAACAGATGCCAGTAACATGGAACCTATTTGTTTTAAATAGATAGTGAGCAGACAAGTGTAACTGCTTGTAGATTAATACTAAAACTTGATAGAAATTACTGAAGGTGAGAAACCTTTCTTGAGGATCATATTGAAGATCTTATCAAGACCCATAAAGATCTTGGTCAAGTGTCTTTGAGACCCTAGTAAGTTCTAGGTAAAACTTTAGTTTTAAAGTGTCATACATGTACAGGTATGTTCTTACTTGTCTAGTGTTTTTCACACCAATAAGGGTCTTTGCAATTCCTGCCAGGATCTTCAAAGATCTTGAACAAGATCCCTAGATCCCTAGGGATCTTCAAAGATTTTGCTCAAAGATTGGTCCAAGATCTTACATCTTTTAAATTCTGGTATACTGAGAACACAAGTACTTACAGCTTCACCCACCTGCTACCTCATCTCCAATGCTGACTCTGGTAACAGCTGATCCAACTAAGAGAAAGAAAAACTAACCTAAAAAACCCACACCGAAGATACTACACTGCTAATGAGCACCAAATTTACTACAGAGTCATGATTTCTTAATGGATTGTAAATCAGTTCAAGAAATGCTGATATCTGCATAATAGAAATAAAGTTACCTATTTTAGGCAGTATCTAGAGGCACATTAAAATTCTGACAAATGATACTCATGTAGACAATGTCAGTAAATCAATTGTGCTCAAGATAACTGAATAAAGTATACCATTTGTCACAATCCCTGATATTTCCCATCCAAATGGGTGTTCCTTCTTGCTTACCAGGCTGAACTCCTCTAAAATCTAAAATAGAATTGAATGCAAATTATGTAAATTTACTCCTCTATGACATGAAAAACCTTCAAGAGAACAGTATTCAGGTGAAAAGTATAAATTTCATGTGTGTCTTACATAGATAGAGAGAAGTTCTATCTGTCTTAACTTGTGCAGCTCTGAGCTATCCAAGGAAATGCATGCTAAAGTTAGTTGCAAAAATGTTATTAGCAGATGATATTACCTTGCTATGATGTGGAGACAAGCCACATGCCTTGACCTTTACAGCAATGCTATTTTCATCTAGTGGTGGGCATTCAAACTACAATGAAAACAATGCAAAGATACACAGATGTGGTATAGGCAGTAATTGCTGGGATGTGAGGAATGTCTCAAGTTATGTCTCATATTTGACCAATTAAGGCCATGTCCACACTAAACTAGAGAAATTTGAAAATGCATCAAATGTTTTCCATCCACACTATGCTGGAGGAATTTAAAAATGCAACAATCACCAGTCATTTTGTATTTGAGGAAAACCCATCATCATTTTTGAAAAGCTCCATTTTCAAAATGTTTTCCGTCTACACTAAGACGCAAAGCCAGCATTTTCAAATTCCTCTGGACAGTTTAAAGAGCATTTTCAAAAAGCTCCATTTTTGTGATGGATAAGTATGGACGGTAGGGTTTAGTAGAAATCTCGCAGCTGTGGTCTAGATTAGGGTATAGTTTACCAGGAAAGTGGTTAGAATATAAATAATTTAGTCTAGAATAGGCTTCTTTACCCAGGGTTCTATAAGAAGAATTGAAACTTGGAAATGACTTTGTAAGATATTGGTTTAGTTAGACTAGTTAGCATATGTTTGACTATGATAGTGATAAAGGTTCTGCATGTAGCTTGTTTGTGACAGGGGGCATAGGTTTAAGGCAATAAAGGCCATGAAGGCCATGAACATGTATCTGTGGCAACATTTTGGTATGGAATATGCCGGAAGTTAATTCACCAGATTCCTGGATTTACTAGAATCATTCACGTCTTTATATGTGCCCTCCCCTCCTCGCAACGCACCAATATGTGTCTCAACTTTGCCTCCCTGTACGCTGTACACTTAAAAACCTTCACTGCTGAGAAAACAATGCAACTGTGTTTAAATCACTCCTAAACTAAATATTACTGGGCTGGAAATTATATCAAGTACCAATAATATTAGGACATGACTTCAGCTTCTTGTTATTCTGTATATTTTCTGAACTGCCTCCTACCGATTCACGTAGCTCATAAACTCTTTTCCCGTTTTCATCTTTTTTAACCACGACAGCTCTTGTCTGCATCATTAAAAGAACACTCTGACTCACACGACTTTACAAATGTTTGTGTTCTTCCGTAACTCCTCCGTTCGCCATATTGTTTTTCTCTGTGTTACTGCTGTGCAAAGTGCAGTATATTGCTGGCGCTTTCTTTGTGTTTGTCTTGGTCATGTGTCTTTTTTTAAAATTTATTTTCCAGTCTTAATCATCCGTTCTTAAACCCTGGGTGTCAGAGCGGTCTTTTAAGGGATGAAAATTTAGAGGTCAAAAGTTTTTTACATTCCTACACAGTCATCCTTTTATTTTCAACGGCTTTTTAGTTCAATGATAATTCTTTGTTTGCCCCAGAAACCTATTTATACTTATGACTGTCAGTTTCTTGACAAAAATTGCAAAGCGGATAGAAAACGAAATATAAAGAAAGAAAGATTAGAAGAAATAAAACCTTCGTATGATGTCAGTTTATTTTAATGGTCAATGCGCAGTGTATGCTGGGTAATTTGGGCAAGATGGCGCCCTCCACCATTCAGAAAATACGAGCCACAATGACAGGGCGAGATACTCAAGATGATTCTCTTATAACAGAGGTAAAATAGCTTGTATTCCTTCTGTTTTATTGATATTTCTCTTTGTTTTGCCTCTGTGTTTTCTGTTTTTCTCTCGGGAAAATACAATTCGTAAGTCGTTGTTGCAGTGTTTTAGCTGTACACGAATTTGAAACTTGAGCCAACAGTTAAAAATTTATCCCTGCATACGTGTCAGCTTAATCTTATTTGATTTGTTTTCAGAAGAACATTGAAAACCTTTTAAAAGTTTCTTGAAATAGTATTCTAAAAGGTGGTATTTAAAATTCAAAACATTGCCAACTTCAAACCTATAAACCTCAAAACGTTATAAGTAGCCTGAATTAACTATTCACCGACAACAGACGTTTAATAATTAATAAAATTGTTACATTAGGTAGTTAATAACCATCAGAAAACCGTTAGTACTATAGGTAACTGTCCTAAGTGTATTCCTTATTATACTGAGTGCTTACATATTTCTCCAGGTATAGTCAATCGCTAAAAATCAATATTGGAAATCAATCGATTCCATCAATATAAATCGCCGATATCGGCAATCGTTAACAATCGATAACTCACGAAAAATTTCCTTATTGATTTCTACTGATTGGCAAAAATCGATAGCAATCGATAATTCCTGTTTTCAGGAATATTGATTGTTAAAATCGACAATAACCACCCGGACTATTTAAAGATGGCTTTGTTATGTGTAAAATAATACCTGGAACAGCAACAGACGTTCATCTTCAGCATGCTAGCTACATTACATTTTCCTTTTAGGGGCTGAGCTTCTTCCAGTGCAAAACTAGCCAAGAAAGATGTAAAGCCCAAAATGTTTCTGCCAGTTGGTTCGGTTCTTGTTATTTTGTCAATGATTGTAAAAGATACGCAGGCTATGATAAACTGACACAATAAAACCATTATAGACAAGTTTCGTTAAACTTTTTATCAGTGTAACTTGTAAAAGGACAAAAGTAATTTCCGATAACAGTCGATAATAATCGATACCAATCTATGAATCAATCGTGATCAATTACTATCGGCAATCGATAACAATCAGTAACTCACAACTCTTTTCCTTTATGGATTTTCATTGATTGCTATCAGCAATCGATATCAATCTTTGATTGATATCAATCGTTATTGATTAATATCAATTATTTCTGTATGTGACAACTCTTTCTGAATGAAAGGCATGAGATTTTTATCTTAAGAAGGCTTGAATTTCAAAGACATCCAGAGATTTCCAAGGACTTTCCAAAGATTTCCGAAGGCATCTTGGATGCGCAGTTGCCAGACTTTTCGCTTAAAAATTTGGGAGAAGTGCACTCCATTGGTTGAGTTTGTTTGTTGACTTTTTGAAAAAGTGCAAGTGAAGGTTGTAATAGCTCAAATCTTCTGGCTAGGCATAGACTTTGGTCAGCAGGTGTGAGTTGGCACTAGATTCAGCGTATATGTCCCCTTATCGTGTCCAATTATATGTTGAGTTTTATACCCATAATAGAAGCAGAATGACAGCAATACTGTTGAAGGTCGTAGGGTTGATTTAAGTTCATCCATCATGCAAGAGAAATGATCTAAAACAAACCACACAAGCAAAACATATGGGAAACTATAGAGGTGTCAAATTGATTCAGGTAAATTTAACAGTGGTCAACAGTGGAACGCATGCAGACCTATGAGCTCTAAACTTTTTTATCACCATAGTCACATGGATACTTTACTGCATTGAGACTCCTCCTAGTAACACTCCATTCAGTGCTATTCAGAAATGATAAATGAAGCTAAATAGTTCAGAAAGTTGAAATTGAAGAGAAAAGCAAATGTCACGAACTGTGCCTGTCACCTAATTTTTACCATAATCTAAGCAAAATTTAAAATATGACGAGCAGGATATTGAGGACTGTAAGAGACTTTGTATGTCCCAAAGATCTAGTAATGTATGTGTCTCAGTTCAAAATGTTTTGAGTAAGAAAGCTCAGGGTTTCAATTCTATTTTCAGATATCTGATGCAACAACATTAAGCTGGTCAACACGAATTAAAGGATTTATCATTTGTTTCTGTGTTGGTGTGTTCTTCTCCATTTTGGTAAGTTTGGAAGAATTATTTAGAGAGACGTTGAGCAACTTCTTGTACTTCTTTGACTTGTAATGATATATTTCTTTGACTCATGTCTAGGGAATGATCATGTTATGGAAAAACATTAAATTATTTGCTGTCTTTTACTCACTGGGTAATATAACAGCACTTGCAAGGTTGGTAACATTTTGAAATCTTGAGTATTAGCTTTTGCACAATAACATATTAACCTCTGTGTTTCATCAGGGGTTGCAATTTTCAGCAGGAGAGCAACTGGTGTCCACAGGTGGGCAAAATGAACTGAACTAAGAAAAACTGTCCTTTAGATGGTCAAACCAGGTGGGCGAAATTATCCTCATACATGTAGCTGGTCAACTTTCCCAGTACCTGGCCCTTATTGAAACCCCTGGTTTCTTATATGTGTTTGGGATTTGTTCTAGTGGGTCAACATTATGAAGTAAACTTAAACTGCTTTTGGTTAATTTGGTTGCAGTGTTTTGCTAGAGAACATGTTGTGTCCATGTTTAGTGGTTAATTGTTGACACTTTCACTGTGTTCTGTGTGGTGAACTGTATGAGATTGTTAAAAGAATCAATTTTCTTTTCCCTCCTACTTAGTACATGTTTTCTCATGGGACCCATGAAACAATTAAGGAATATGTTCAAAGAGAAGCGACTGATTGCGACTATAATAATGCTGGTAAGAAAACTTGGTTATAGAAAATGTCAAGATGACGTCTCAATGGTTAAAAGGTCTTTTGCTCTTATGTCCTCTGTATCTGACTATATAAGTTAATAACTAGTGGCGGTGATTTTACTTACTTGATACTGAACATGGTGCAATTTTCAATATTATTACACCATGAAGGAACTTAGTTTTCTAAGAGTGAATATTCAACAAAGTGCAGCATAGAACACCAGTGCTTATTGAAGTGGGGGCAGTTAGTATATCTGGCTGGAAGAGTCAGCATTGGATGAAGTTAATTCAAAACTTATGAGATTAAAGTGCAATCAAAAGGGGGAAAGATTATTAATTTTTGGCTTTCCAGCAGTGTTCTGACATAGTCAGATGTTTATTTGTCAATGTTATTATTGGAATTTGAAACAAGCATAGTAGATTTTAGACCAAGATAATTAAAATAATAATCAGTTTGAAATAAACAGTGGGAAGTTTGAGATAAACATATTTGTAATTGTTGATAATCAATAACAGAGTGCAAATAAGTGAGGAGCTGAAAATAACAAGTTGGAATTAGAACGGTCTGACTGTTCTTGCTTATTCAAACTACATTTTACGACCATAATACTAACAGTACTAAATATATTTTTTCTACCAAGACCTGCCTTGCTCTCACACTTTGTGCTGCACTGTGGGTAAGTGTTTCATCACAGTTTGGCCATTTAAATGATGCAGGTTTACAAGATTACAATTTGCAAAGAAAGTATTTATCCAGTAGCCTGGGGTGTTGTCTAGTTCAGGAAAAAAAATATTCACACCCCATGGAAGGTCATTGGAAATTTTGTCTGTGGTGGTTATGGGAGTCTCAAAAGCCAACATTTATATAAGGAAGTATAAAGTAGAATTCCTGGAGAGGTGTGTTGTTCAAATTAAAAACCTTCTTTGGGGGAGGTACAGATATTTTCTGTAACAGCACTTTATGCGTACCTGTATTTATAATATAGCTAGGACCCTGTGCGCACTCTGATTGGTCAAAAACTCATGTTTCATCAGAGTATAAAACATAGAAAAAGTGTGTTTTATTGTTTATCATAAAGCAAACAAAGAAACCTAAGCCGTGTATTACACTGTGATAAAACACTCCGGACATTTGAGAACACTTGTGAAATGTAGAAAACACTTGCCTGTGGCTCGTGTTTCCTACATTTCCCTCATGTTCTCAAATGCCCGTTGTGTTTTATCACAGTGTAATACATGGCTTAGGCTTCTTTATTTGTTAAATAATGCAAAAATAGCTGATCAACTCATACCAATTTGCTATATGTGTGTGTTATGTGTCAGAGATATTGTTTTGATGGTAACACAAGGCTGACAGTTTAACAAATGTCTTTTGTGTTTCAGTGGGACAATAAGGGACTTGCATTGATTTTCTGCATTCTTCAGTATTTAGCCATGACATGGTATGTATCTATTGAAAGGTGTCTTTTGAAATCAAAGATTTTTACAAGTATATTTACAACTTTTGTTTCTTTGCAGGTATTGTCTTTCCTATATTCCATTTGCAAGGTATGAATGCCCATACATACAATTTTTTATCATATTGCACCTATTGTAAGATACATATTTCCTAGTGACACAAAAACTAAGGATTTTTCACACAGAGAAATACATTTAGTCCTAAAAGAAAATAGAAGAGCAAGAGACAACAAATTATTTGACCATTCTTAGATGGTCTGAATAACAGACTAAATTAGTCAGTCTACAGCATAATATATAGATTTTGCCAAGCCTAAAAGTGGAGCTCCTGGGCCTTCTGTTTTGAGTTTGAATAATCTCAAGGTCCTCAAAATACACAAAACAAAAGCAGTGAAAAACATTTGTATACAAGAAAAAATTATACTTCAGTTAACTTTGTAATCCTGGTTTAGCAATAACCAGCTTCTGAACAACCCGGCCCTGTTTAGAACAAGTTAACCTGACATGAGCCTGCGATTCAATTGAAAACCAGCACTTGGTCAGTAGTCAACTTACAAAAAACATGTGACCCCAATGAATTCTAAACTTGAGCCTGGCAATATGGTTACATGATACTTGTCAGCAGATACCTTGTTTTGACAGGTGTCAATTGGCTATTTGGATGTCCAATATCAAAGAGGGTCACTACAAACCGAGGGTGCATGTCTCTGTCAACCTATTAGCTGGAGTATGGCCGCCATCTTACATGACTCCGTCACCGTCATCGTGTGTACGCACCCACGAGCAGTACCACTAGCCATGATAACCATGAGAAAGTCAATCCATGGGTTTCGTTTTCTCTCCTATATGGGCATGGGGCTCCACTTGGTGGCCCTTTGGGCTGCCGGAGCTCCGCTATGAAAACATGTTTTTGAATGAGGAGGCAGTGTGAAATACCAATTTGTGTGATGGAGGATTTCTTGTTCTCTGAAAAGCTACAGAAAAATGAAAACTGGAACTTGTCAAAACTACAGCAGAACTTGGCAATGTGATCGAACAAATTTGAATCAGAAAGTTGCAAGTTGCATCAAAGAAACTACCAATCTTATCAATATTGCGATATTCCAGAGTTGCCATCAAAAAGAACATTTGGTTTGACTTTAAAGCTTTAGAAGGTGCAAGTAACACCTCTCCAGAACTTAGACGTAATTGACATTATGAAAGGGTTCTGAGTAACCTTAATAGACAGAGTCTTCTTTATTTTATACCTTTCTGTTTTTATTTATGTCAAGACTTCTGTTTTGGTTTCAGGGATGCAGTGAAGAAATGTTTCACAAGTTGCATGGCATAGGCCTAGCTTTTGGACAGTTGAGGTGCACTTGTTCAGAACAAATCATTCATTAATTATGATAAATAGACAAATAGATCAATTCATACATCCAATTAGTTCAGTCCTGGAAGTCAATCAGTAGCCTTTTTGCAAACATTCTTACTTAGATGTTGTCAATCATCAATCATGATGTGACAGGATTCCATATGAGGGCTTATTGAACCACCTATTTGACTGACAGTGTAATTTTCATTGAGATATTTATATGTGAAAAGAAATATATAAAATGCTAAGTAACATAGTGTAACAGGTTCTGAGCAGGGTGTGCTTTGGATATTTGCATTTTCTCCCTGCATCTTGTCCTTGACACCACTAGCCTTTAGTTGGGGCGCAGTGTGGAAATGGCACACAGAAAAAGAGCAGGAACTTTGCTCCTCCTAACAAGTTCCTCTCTCCTTTTTTCCCAAAATGTGGCACATGACAAAATTGGGAGAACTTCTCCTTTTTTGACTCTGCCTTTTTTTGCGCAGCACCCCAACTAACTGAACCCCTATGGCACCACTGGCAAGAATTTTCCTGTCAGCTCCAGTTTTTCTGTATCTCTGATAGAAAGTTAGTGCAACAGAAAATACAAATATAGAAGGACCATCAGCTTCTTAAATTAAGCAAGAGCATTGTCCTCAAGACATAATTATTGTAACCCAACAAAGTGCACTCAAGAATTAGAATTGTTTGCTTTATAATTTGAAACTTGTCTTCATGAGTGCTTTGTGTAGAGAAACTACTGTTAACTCATATCAAAGTCCTTTGTAGTTGGAGGTAGTCCTGGTGCATGCTGCTTGCTTCACACTCTTCATGCTCAAGTTTTGAGTGTAGCAGACACTTTTCATTGCTTTCCAAGTTTGGTTTCTGCAGCTTGACTTGTGGGAAAGTCTACTGTAAACAAGTATAATTGGATTAAAAATCAAATGTGGAAAAGTTCTTCCTAGGGGCATGGTTCTCCCCCAGAGGGGACTCCTATATAAAAAGGACGCAGGTGCTCGTTGTGCCCTTTTGGGGTTAAAAAAGTGATTTTGGTATCTTGTAAGGTGTTCAGCATCAAAATGTCCACAGCGTGAGCTTTTGTGGTGCCTTTTACGGTATTGAGCCAAAAAAAATATGGTGGGAGATAATTGTGTTGTTTTAGAATTGATAACTTTCAGGGATGAAAAAAATCCAAGCCATGTCCACAAAGCAGGATCTAATGGTATCTCTTACGGTTTTTTTTTTTTCCTCAAAATTTCCGATGAGCGCTCTTATCCTTTTTATATGAGAGGCCCCCCTGGGGGTTCCCCAATGGTCCCCTGTGAGGCAGAGAAAAGAAAATAAATAACAACTTCATTTTAACTGTCACTTAAGATTCCTGTCTCTTTTTGCTTGCTGAGAAATGCAGAAAAAGAGGATAAATCCTGTCTCCTTGCCTGCTGGTGTAATTTCAGACTGTACCATACACCACAGAGACCTCTCACTCTCTTTCATTAAGTACAATGTACATGTAAATAAAATAACTTGATTTTATTGTGTGTTGGCATTTATTTCAGTTGTTTGTAAGATGGAACCCATTTGATCATGAAAACTTCTCAAACCCTTTAATTTAAAAGACACTAGTGATTTGTATATATTTTGACCAGGAAATTAATATTATAAGATACTCTTTTGGCTTGCACATCGTGGCTAGCTCGCAAATTGCAGAGAAGTCAGTGAAAGGCAATGGAGGTGCATTTGGCTTTTGTTTTCCCCAAAATTTGAGACCAAAAAGTTGCCATCCGGAAAAGTCTTCCTTGAGTGGTGCAGCTTTTACAGAATTGTGCCGTCAAGTAGCCCGTTAAGAATGGTAGCTAGGCGGTGTTACCCTCCCCTCCCCCAACCCTGCAAGAATCTTGGTTTTGGAGTTTTGCCTGTAGAGCAAGCCTATCCGATAACCTACTTTTTTTCTAAAACAAGGCACAAAAAATTAGTTTGCGATGGTTGTAGTTATCGGAAACGGTCCATAGGGGAGATGATTGCGTTAGGTTTTTCGCCTGACCCCTCCCCTGTATGGATATGACTCGACCCACGCTGGAATCCTTCCGACGCGCGAAAGCGCTTGCTCACGTTGTGCATGACTGTTTTGGTATTTCCCGTGGGAAACGGTTGAACGCCCGTAAACGTTCTCCTTCACATCAAGTGTGCTTATCCCATGGGAAATAGATCATTATGAAGCGAAAGAGATCCCGTGAGCTCGAAGACAGTAGTGATGAAGAAGACGAAGACCCGGGCGTAGATGGAACATGCAGTGATGGAACATCGACACTTTCACTACAGGACCAAGAGGTAAATAGTGTTTATAATAACCCCGCCGGGATCAGCTTGATGGTTTGTTGATCAGGCAAAGATATGTAACGCCACCACGAAACAACTGCGGAGAATCTTTTGGAGCAAGTTAATATAATGAGCAAATGTTGACCTCCGGCATTTTTATCAATCAGGGCTTTGTTCAGTTTGCAATCTATTTCTCTGGTGTTGGTGGTCTCAGTCTCATTTTACCTTGTCTGGGTTAATGTAACAAAATGGAAAGAGTAGAATTTCCTCTTCAATGACCAAAAATCAGAATTGCAGAATAAAGACTTAGATGTCCGAAAGATAAGCTGAACTGTAAAACCTGGTGATTTTGATCTTTGAAAGACATTATCACTCCAAGAAATGTCAGGAGTAACCAGCTGACAAAATTATTTTGTTTTATCCAAAATGCAAGGCAAATTGTTTACTGTAACATGGATTCCACTTTTCAACTCATCATCATGATTGCTACATTGTTGGACACAGCATGCTGCAAATGTGTGGCCACCCTGTCATGGTATCCAAACATTCTGTAAATTATATGTTTTAACAGGGAGGCAAAACCTGCAACATTTTGTGCTCAACAATACTGCAACATGTTGCTTAATAAGTGCAATGCTGTGTCTGATGGGGCAAACCATGCAAGACAGATTTTGTCTCTCTGCTTGGTGAGAGATGAGAGGGAACCTCTGCTCGGCCAACTGCTCGATCATTTTATCAGCCACCGTCCACAACTAGGGGAAAATAGATTAAAAATACTGGTTTTTGCTTATTTGAACCAGCTAAAACCTACACATGACAGGTAGAATTCAAAGCGCTCTCTGTGTGTGAGACTGCCGACAATATATGCTGCCCTATGATTGGTTATTGTGTGGGATTTCCCATAGTTTTCAACACCAGCAATATTTATTTATTTATTTATTTATTTATTTATTTGTCCACGAGATCAAAGCATTTGTCACGTGGTTTCTACTTGGGGTGTAGACTGGGTTCCACTAGCAAAAAGTTGAGTGTTTTTGTGCTGCAGCCATTAGTGTGATTACTCTTAGCAGGTGTTGTTGTTTGGCAAATTTGGCTTGTTTTTGAGATTCGGAGGGAGTCTTAGGCCTTAGGTCTTAGTGTTTTTCAGACACTCGCTGCCATGTTTATTTTTGAGGCGCCATTTATTATAAGGTGGGTAAACATTCGCTTTCTGTATTATGTGCGAAATTCTTGGATGAATAAGGAACAGTCAGTCAATCATACAACAATCACACAAAGTTCCAGTTCTCGAACAGAACTTTCTGCAATTACATATTTAAATTATGTCACATTGAAATTCCTTTGATCAGATGAAAATCCCGTCAATTTCTGTGGAAAATGAAATTCTAGTAAACATTGTGCATGTCATGCCATTCAGTCTGCAACTGTTGGAAGAAAATTTATGCTTGATTGATTTCATTACTTTTAACTCCCCTCTATTTCTAAAATCAGCATTTTTATATCAACAACCAAAAGTTTTACGGACAGATATAACATAATGACAAAGCCTAGCATTTTCCCGTGTATTTATGGTTAGCAAGTTGAGGTCCTCTCGACTGCTAAATCATGATTTTTGATACGTTGCGTGACAGTGCAGTTTCCGTAGACTCGCAAGTTTAAAAGGCCTAAATATTTGCATTTGCCTTCAAACTTCAAACTGCTAAACATTTTCACATTTACTGGTCATGTTTAAGCGCAAAAGCTAATTTCTAAAAGTATAATTTACATACAGTTTTCTCAGCTGGAAGCACGAATATTAGCTGACATTTGCAATCAGAGCTGATTTATCGTAAACAAACTCTGTGCAACCAACAACCAATTCTTATATTTCCGCTCATGAATAAGAGTGTGCTTACAGGGAGGGAGGGTGCCCCGGCTAACCGAGCTACCCTGGGAGGGCTAACTTCTCATACGTTTCTTTAGAAAACGCATTGAAGCGTTTACATGCTAGACAGGGTAGC